AAATCCGCGACATACGCCCGGTTTTTCGACAGGTCCTTGCGGTACTTGTCGCGCTCCGCTTTCACGTCCGTCAGTTCGGCTTCGAGGGCTGCGAGCTGCGCGCGGAGGGCGTCGGGCGCTGGGTCCATGCGTGTGTGTGTGTGTGTAGGGGAAAGGGGAAACAAGAAGAGATGAAAAAAGGGTAGGTCTGACGTCAGGAGCTCAACGATACGTCATGTCATGTCAGACATCTCCACGTGTTATGCCCAGCCGCGTCGCGTCGCGCGCATCGCCGTCGTCCTCGTGTATGTATGTACACCCAGCGCAAACCCATTGGCTAGCGGCTACATAGACAAAATACTGAAAATGACTCTGCCATATATTAGTGGGGGCACCGCGGATTGAACGCGGGACCTTCAGAATGACGAATGAGTGTCAATGTTTTGTGGACGGTACTTCAGTCTGCTGCTCTCCCAGCTGAGCTATGCCCCCTGTACCCCCTACAAACGCGTCGCGATGATTCTCGAGTGGAAGAAGCCATGGCGAGGGAGACAGAGTGGGCAAGAGAGAAGAATACTTAGGCCGTGCAGCTGATCTGATCGGAAGTCTGCTTGACGCGACGCAAGCTAGTGGCCACTGCATCGCAGAAACAAGTATAGCGTCACTAGACCTAACGTGCTGCACACATCGCTCGCCGGCTACCCTCATTCCTCACCCTCATCCCCGCGCCGCGCAGACCCTCCCTCGCCCGACCCGAGTGTCAGGAACGCATGAAGACATCTCGACAGCATGTAAGTATAAGTATCCAAAAACGTTGCGCACAAAGTTTGATGCGTCAGTATGGGGGCACCGCGGATCGAACGCGGGACCTTCAGAATTAAGCATGAGTGACCGGCCCCATCTTGTAACTTCAGTCTGCTGCTCTCCCAGCTGAGCTATGCCCCCTGTACGCGTTCCCGTACGTGTTGTGGTTGTGTGGCGTGTCAGAGGCGTGAGTGTGGCGAGGCCTGGGAGCGGGGCTGAGCGCAAGAGGTAAGTCAGAGTACGATGAACGAGAGCCGGATTCCGACTCCAGACTTGAGAAAACACGATCATCCATTGAATCTCGAAGACTCGGAAGGCTGCTGGGCTACTAGTGTACATGGGCCCACGGTGGACCTGAACCACCAATGACCCCGCTCGCGCGCAGCGCGCGGCGCAATCCCATTCCGCGCCACGCCACGTCCACGCCACGCCACCACGAAAGGCCTGCGTACGAGGTCCCCCAGCCTGTGAATCGTTAGTGATTGTACGGTGCGAAGATGGGGAAGAAAAGAGATGTTTACGTATGAGCTTGATGGGGGCACCGCGGATTGAACGCGGGACCTTCAGAATTGAGCATTAGGAAGTTGCCACTGCCGGAGGCCTGAACTTCAGTCTGCTGCTCTCCCAGCTGAGCTATGCCCCCTGTACGCGTTCCTGTACGCGTCGTGGGTGTCCTGGAGTTGTCGCTCTCCCAGTTGAGCTATGCCCCCCGTAACGATGAATAAACGCGTCTCGAATTTCTTGAGCGTCGTGGCTGTGGAGAGGAGTGGGAGTCGGAGTCGGAGTCGGAGTGAGCAAGAGACAGTGAGAGGCATCGAAGGCTGATCTGACCGTGATCGATGATATCGAACCTTGAACGAAAGCTCGGATTCTAACCCCAGCGATACGGCACACAGATGGGGCGCTTCCACCACCCTCAGGCCTCAGGTCCTTCACATCGTAAAAAGGTAACGCGTCTGGATAGGGCATCTCCCTCGTGCTCGGAGCTGGCGCCTTTCCTAGTCGCACCTGGACCAAACTCCTGCTGCGGCTGCGCCGGGTGGCCGACAGGACAACGAAATTACGTCCGGCTAGCGAGACAAAATGTGGAAAGGAGACTGTCCGACGAACATGGGGGCACCGCGGATTGAACGCGGGACCTTCAGAACGGTGAGTCCGTAACAATACACTTCAGTCTGCTGCTCTCCCAACTGAGCTATGCCCCCTGTACGCATATCTAATACATCGCAATTGTGCTGAAATATAACAAGGAGATGGAAGTGAGAGCAGGGACGTACGTACCAAGAGGCTGCGAGAGGAAGAAGCATGGAAGGTTGATTTGACACAAAGTGATCGAACTTGAAAGTCCGAATTCCGACACCAATCTTATCTCAACGATAACCGCCATGTCCAGTCATCGCATCGTAGAAACGTAAGTCTCCCGCAGCTGGGGTCAACGTCATAGCTATTTCCAGATAAAATATAGAAAAAGGTCGAGATTTCCATCTAGCTACTATCAAACACAACAGGATGCGTGAGGGACCCAGGCTTTCAGGGGTTCTTCTCTACGTTCTGGAACTTTGGCGCCATCTGAGCAGGTAGGATATCATGAGCACGTTCGGGCGTTCTGCAGGTGCTGTAATGTGCCCACGCTGCAATCGTGATGAGAAGCAGGTGGCGTGGATTCCGTCGCTCGTACCTATGCGATGGAGGCTTTGTGCCTCGGAGACTCCTATGGAATCTTACTCCCCCTAGCTTGCCAAGCGTCACCTGAGCTAGAGGTATAAGAACCAGACGGTGCAAACTGCTCGAAGTTTGAACCGTAACGTATAAAAGCCTTTACTTAGCCAATCCTCTCTCAATGCCACGCTTGTACCACCCATCCGAGCGATATCTAGAACTCAAGAGGACGGACGACGGCGGTTTCGAGGGTATGTACTGTTCCAGATATCCGTAGACTTGAAGCTGCGATGTAATCTTCTCTTTCTTCATCGACATCTTCACAGTCTCGCTGGAGAAACCCAATAATGCCGGGGGGCAGCAGTGGACGTACGAACACCTCCCTGCCACCGACAGTACCAAATTCAAGATCAAGAACCTCGGATTCAACGTATACCTCGACATGAAATTGTCCTCGAGTGCAGACTCTCTCATCTACGACCTCGCCTTCCCCAGTGAATCAAACGTACTCTGGAGCCAGCAGTACGTTAACAATGGATTCTACGAGTAAGGTTATTTCGTCTTGGCTTGATTGTCAGCCTTGAATCACGATGAACCCCTAAAGTTTGAGCACTCTGAATGGCCCGGGTGCAGGAGGTTTAAAGCTGAAGCTCCTTTCAACGTCTGACACCCCCAGCGCGCGTATCTTTATTGGTCCCAACGGGAAGGGAATGTGGGCAAATTTCTGAGTGATATCTGATGGTAGTACTATATTGTTACATGAAGACATCGCACTTCTTTAGCATTTACTTCAATGTAGCTTTGATGATATCCGCTGCCTAAGAGCCAATTAGATTCAGTTCACCTCCTACGAGTATGTACAACGTAAGTTCCTGACCTTCTCTGCAAAAGCATACAAAGTCGCCTGGAGGTGAGCAGAAATATGCACTGGGAGGATAGACGCGTCGACCTGCCAGCGGTTGGACCGGGGTTATCCACAAAGAAACTTCGCATAAGCACTCACCACGCGCAAATTGGTGGAGCGCATGAGTCCCTTATCTTCTAGGAATATCGAGCAGCACGAAAGCAGTATCATGGGATGACCAGTTGAAATGAGTACTCATTAGCGACATTGAGCTCTTCGAGACAAGCAATTGCAATTAATGCGCAGCCCGAAGGCAAACCACATCCGAAGCCGCGAAGCGGTGGGGCTTTCGAGAAAGTCGCTGATAAAAGAGCAACGTTTGACTTGAAGCAAAGTACTCGTACTTGCAAAGAAAGACAGCACCACTGAACGGTTCCGGAATCGCAAGGATTGCCCATTCTCCGGATCCATGACAAAGGAAAAAGACAAAGCGTCGGAACACAGAGTTTGTTCAAGCTTGCATGAGCTCCTCGGTATTCGCCGAATACACAAAAATCTCTCATCCACCTGGGCATCACCATGACCATACTTTTGAAACTGCTGTTGTCTTTCTATAAAAGCCAGATCTAATATCTGTTTATCAAGCTGAAACTCGTGAAGATAACTCATCTGAAATTTTCTGATACGAAATTCTCAGTGGGCCGCGAAAACTTGACACCACATGGCCATCTTTTATGGTGCAAGGCGCGTGTCAAACTGGAGGTCGTGATCTTGAAGCTTGAAGTCTTGGTGAAAGGTTGGGAGCTTTTCATAAAGAACCTTGGTTCAGATGTGAAGCGATGGTGAGTACAAACGCGTCTATCATTCAAAGGTAAATAACTAAGAACTTCGACATCTCTAATTCAGGAGAGAAAGGTACACTGTTTCGAAAATGGTGCATACGATACACGTTGAATCAGTTTGTCGCCTTTCGAAAGGGGCCAATATCTCCGGGAGGAAAGCTCAGATAACTGATGATTCTTATTCTCAACAAATCAAGAGGCTGGAGGTAGTCGCTATCGGTAATCGTCATTTTAAGATGTTGCTGAAGCTGAAGATGTGCAGGCACACCTATGATTACTAAACATCATTCTCAAAACATCATTCTCGACAATGTATTGAGGCTCGCAACTTTGGCCCACCTTTGGTATTATCAGCAACGTTCGCAAGAAGTATTATCATCCATATACAGAAGTAAGTGTCACAACTTATCCTAATATAACAATCGTAATAGTCCACATGATACAGGTATTCATTCGATTCTAATTTTTAGACCTCTTGCTTTCCATAACGTGGTTATCGCCGCACTTTTGTCTTGGCATTTTGGAATGTCCGTGCAGTGGCTGAGGGCCATCTCTTGTAAGTTACCGCGCAGAGCGGCAACTGAAAAACCAGGTGTACCAGGCGACGCGAGAATAGTATATAAGACGAGTTGGAACTGACGTCCATCCTCCAAGAACAACGATGCGTACTCTCTCTTTTACTATTGTTCTTCTCTCTCTCATCACAGGGACTAGGGCCGCAGTCTTACCTGAGATTGATACAGCAACGTACTGTGTGGCTGGCGGGCTGTCCTGCCTTAATAACGCTGAATGCTGCAGCATGCTGTGTGGCCAATGGTACAAACCAGCCAGTTGAGTCTAAAAACGCATCAGATGAAATCATCGCCAGTCTCTTGCCCTTCTTGTACTTGTATTATTTTCCAGATGTATCCTGAAACGGACAGTATATGATTCTGAAAATCCGCATGGACAGGAACTTATAAAGTGCAGTAATTTGACACCAGCAAGACTTGCGTTCGCCACCTACAATATTGTTCAGTTCTTTTGTCATGAGTTCGACGGTGCTTTAAGGCCACTGAAGGCTCAAATCATTTATTTATATCATGCAGCTTGATTTTCAGTGATTCGTATACTCGTACGGTTTACCGTGACACGAAAGTTGTCATTGTCGAGTAACAAACGTTGGCCATCTGGAGACTTGGGCAGGCACTGTATCGCTATCAAGTATCAACCACATGATGCCTCCCGAAGTAGTAGGATCAGGACTTAGTACACACGCACCAGCATTTGCTTCTTATCGCTTCCCCGCCGCAGTCATGGTGTCCATCCAGCCAGCTAGTACCGAACTGCGCGCCCATAATACATCTCAACGTCCCCCAACTTCATTTCCCTTCTCTTTCCGAATCTCACCTGATACCGACCTCTGGCTCAAGCCTGTTCCAATTGGTGCACCGCCCTCAGCTTCACCCCACATCGCCAATAACCAGCCTACAATATACGCGTCGCTTCCACTATCGTCGTTCGTCCGCGCCACCGCTACGATATCTGTCGCACCTACAGCTCTTTATGATCAAACGGGTTTGGTGGTCCTATATCCACACGATCAGAGGAGATGGATCAAGGGCGGAATCGAGTATGTTGACGGTCTACCTAAAAGAAGCGTAGTCGTTGCGTCTGGACCGGGCGCGAGTGCGGATTGGAGCGTCTCGCCCCCGGTTTCTGGGATATCTGATGCTGATGACAGCGGGCGCGTCCGCACAATCGTGGAATTTGAGCGCGAAGAAACAGGTACTGGGGCCAGTCTACTTGTCAAGATTGATGGGGAGGCGGTGAGAGAGATTACGTGGGTTTTCGCTGCATCGCAGAATCCTGAGGAAGAAATTTGGGTTGGCTTTTATGGTGCAAGGCCTGCCAAACCGGAAGGTCGTGGTGATCTTGAAGTCTTGGTGGAAAGTTGGGACCTTGTCGTAAAGAACATACGTTGAGATGTGAAGCGATAGTGAGCTGAAATGCATCTCTATCGTTCGGACCATCACTGTAAAAGTTGTTTCAGATAAAGGGTGACCATAAGATGCAACGCCTCCAAGTCCATGTCGGATCATTCACTTTGACTTTCAAGTTTGATTCAGAAGAAAACACACTTTACTTTTGCTTTACTTCAGAAATATTAATGGTGCATACCATGCACGTTGCCTCGGATTGTAGCCTTTCGAAAGGGGCCAGAAAAGATGTGGCTTACACAAGGCCTCAAGCTTCAGGCTTTCAAGACTCACCTTGATGCATTGACGATCATGACCCTGCACCATAGGCGTCAAGTTTCAAGGGTTTTATCAGGGTTTTATCAAACTTACAACCGCCCCGAGATTGCCGGAGGTAATTAAAGTCTGATCGTCTCTGGGATCATCTCGACAACCTCCTTCGTGGGCGCTTCTGCAGGTCCCATTGCCCAAGACAGAGGCCTAAACATGGGTTAACTCGCCTTAGCTTTCACTTGCCTCATCAAACGTGTACTTGGTTCGATCGCGGCCGTAGGCGCATTCTTCGCCAATGGGTTGATGAATTTCAATTTCACAAATGATTCGACAGATCAGCGACGGAGTGACGGGCGCGCGCCTTCTTTCGATTTAGCTTTTGTTTCCACAGGATCACAGAGGTCTGACATAAATCTGGTGGAGTTTCCGCTTCTCAACCGTGCTGATACGGGAAAGTTGTGACTTGCTGTCAATAGAAGCCCTCGTTACACATCATGGGTCAGGAAACACGTTGCAAATGCGAGGGAAACTTACGGTCAGTGTCGGGAAGAACTTACCACTATTACGTTCAGTGGGAAGTGAAGTGATGACTCCTTTCCTGAATCGGTTAAGGGATATCGTCCGCGGTG